CCCCTCTGGGGTCCTTGGGTCCTTCCTGGGTCTGTTGTCGCGCAGGCCGGGAGCTTACACTTTCTTATTTGGACTGTATAATTTTGCATGTTATATATGAAGTGAGAATTATAAAAGTAATTTATTCATTACTTATTACATTTTATGTAATTTTTTTTAAAAACCTAAACTGTCTTTTCAAAAGAATAGCTCTTTTTTAAAAGTCCTTATTGCAACTCATCATTTGTCCTTTAGTTTTACGATTGTTTTTGCAATCCCAAGCTTTTTAAAAAACAAAACATTAAACTGGCAAATTCAGTTTGACCAAGTTATGCAAAGTGATTTGGTATACACTATGCAATGGCCACTCACATCTAATTAACATGACCATCACCACCGATGCTGTGTGTCAGATACAAGGACTAGTTCACCTTACAACTGAAAGTTTATGTCTTTTGGCCAACATCCCTTCCTTTCCCCTAGCTCTGACACTACAGGAACCACCATTCTATTCTTTGCTTTCTATAATTTGGCCTTCTTTTAGATTTGCAAAGGACAGTTCTTACCAAGTGGTATACGTCATCTAAACAAGTCAATTCATTAAAACTGATGTTCAGTTTCCGAAGTCTGGTTAACTTGGAGAGATCTCGCAGTTTACTCAAGCTGTTGCCGTGTAGATTGAGACTCTGAAGTGAAAAAATATATACATGAATTAAAAATAAAATAGATTACATGCTACATCCTACCTAATTTTTAATATCTACCAGGTTTTGAAGAGTTACTTGAGCCAATATAATGTGTATAAGAAAGTAGTTATTTTAAATGACATTAAGAGAATGTCAGTATGAAAAAAAAAACTCTAATGATGTGTGCTGTTAAAAAGGTAGGGTAGTTTATACTATACTTGGACCTGGTTCTTCAATATCATTTCCCATTGGTCTAAGGTTGTCAATAGTTGGCATGACATTCTTTTTAGACATAGTTAAGATATTAGGATGGTTCTATTTCTCAGGCTAGTCAGTAAATAATGGGAACCCTTGAGAGTTTTGGGTATCTCACAGGAAGAGATAGTAAAGATGCATCTTGATTGCAGGAACCTGAATAAGAGCTCTAGACCAAGGAAGACAGGCTGTGAATGGGGACGTGAGAGGACCTAACAGCACTGGAGGAGGTGGGGGAGAGTCTGATACAACACCCACCTATGCCAGAATACGGTCCAGATGTTCCTGTCCACTGCATCCTTGGTTATGTGAAAATGAATGTTATCACGTTTATATTTAGGAGAGATCTTGATGCCTACATGCTTTTCTGTCTTCAAATGACACAGCTGTGAATTGTACCAAGTGAAGATTATACTCATTGATGACAGTGTAGTAAAAAAAAAGCAATGCCACAAGAAAATGTGTAAATACAAATGACTACAGTATTTTCAGTGAGTGAGTAGCACCATGATAAAATCAGGTGTGTATTCAAATCATCTGCACTTACCAACATCATATACTACTGTAGACATAACTAAATTCTTCAAAGGGAAAAACAACTAAATTTCTAATAGCAGCCAAAATTAGTTAGAATTGTGAAGAAGGGTCAAGTTATGCAGGCTAGTTATCTTACAAATTAGATATGAGCATCATCCATGCTAAGAACCTAAAGACACCTTATATTCAACACCTTATGTTCAGCTATACAACTGAATTCATCATCTTTCCATACGTATCTGCTTGGTTGCCTATATTTTTAATCCCAGTTAAGAGTTTTGTGATCTAACTTAACACATTATTGATCGCCCCTTTTCCATATGCACTTGATTGCAGAAATGTTTTTCAAGCCACCTGCTAGATTTTATCACTACTGTTGCATTAGTACAGATAACATGATCTCCTTTGGATTACTGCAATGTGAGTTTTCTACTAGGTTTCCGTACCAATAGTCAGACTTCACTTAAGTCCATCCACTAGCTACCAAAGTTAGGACCTTTAAAAATAAAAAGTCTGTTGCTTAGGGAGAGGACTCTACACTTCAAATACAGCTTCTAAAACCCATCTTCATGTGGCTATAACCTTCTCTTCCAGCCTCAGCTTGCTCCATCTTCCTTTTAATTCCAACCTGTATCTTGGTCTTCAACTGTCACAACTCTGTATCTTAAAGTGAATTTCTGGGTGTTTCTTTTTCTTTTTCTTTTTTTTTTTTTTGTGGTCCTGGGGATCGAACTCGGGTACTTGCGCTTGCAAGGCAGGCCAATGAACCGCTGAGCTAAATCCCTGGCCCTCTGGGTGTTTCTTGAAGACACCACTATCTTTCAAAATCGTGTGCCCAAGGTAGAGTGTTTTCTCTGTCTATAAGCTATAAGCAACTAATAATCCACTCAAAACTCACCTCTGTGAAGCACACTGCACTGAGGTTGAGGCAGGGAAAATAATGTATTCATTTTAAACTCCTAATTCTTACTGCATTGCCCAACACATAATTTCTAATAAATTATAGGTGAATAAATCAATGCAAAAGGCAGACTTGTAACAACTCTAATTTTTAGCATTTGTGCTGTGAAAGAATACAAAATTCTATGTTATATATACTGAGGCTTTTATTTCTGTTATGTGATTTTAGGGATAGCCTCATAAAACTCAATCTACTGGGAAGATTAAAAAGAACATAATAGAAATGTGCCTTTAGTTGCTCTTATAATAATGGCACAAAGGAAGGGATGCAAAGGTTATAATACCTAAACCTTCTTGTTGCAACACCTAGTATTCCTACTAGAAGCTGTAGCAAACTTGCTGGCTTTTAAGAAACACGGGCAACTTCAAGATGAAAAAGCAGCTATTCATCTGTCACAGGAGCTCATCAAATTAATGCGAAGTTGGCTGAAATCACAGGCAGGTCAATGTTTTAGGAAGTCTGGTTCTCCTCCTCTACTTTATAAACCAAAAATAACCAAAAGATCTACTTTGCTGATTTTAAATTTTCAGTGAATCCCCTTATGCCTGCAGGAATACATATTGTGGAAGCTCAATCTAACCAGAACACATTCTTTGTAAAAAATTTCATCACTAAAACTTTATTGTCAAAAATGTATCACTCCTATATTACGTATTGACATTATACTACGAAACAATAATTTCTCCATACTGTCAGCCATAAGATTGGTCTTGTAATCACTATTCTGTACACTTGTGGTACAGAAGCTAACACTGCCATCCTATAATGAAAATATCCTCACATTAACGTAAACATTAAGATCTCCTCTTTTCACCCTAGATGCAAAGATTTGGTGGATAGTAATAAGAGCATTTCATCAAATCAATCCTAAGAATTTCTGGAAAAATAATTTTCTGAATAACTTCAGAACCAGACTTAAAACTATTGATTTCACTTATTTTATTTAAATATCCTTCATTCTCTTTCGGCTTTATGCAGTCACTTGAGAACAATATGTCGTAAATAATGAGTCTAGGAACCTGGCAATGGAAAAATATCTTTCCAGATAAAGATAACGTCTGCATTTTTAGCTTTATCTCAGTTTTGACTGTACACCAGAATTGTGTGTGTCAACCCTAGAAGCTGATTTGAAATGTATATGCCTTCATCTTAATCCTACGAAGAGCTTGTTATTTAGATAAATCACTTGTTAATTGGAGAAGCATCTCAAATGAATATCAGCAATTGAAATATAGCAAGGCTGAACTGAAATGTGCTAGTGTAAAATATACTCCAGAATTCAGACTTAATCTGTAACTATCTCAGTAATGGGTTTTCATAGTGACGACATAGAAAATGACGTAGTTTAGATATTTGGGTTAAATAAAATGTGTTGTTAAAATTAATTTTACCTTTTCAAAGATAACCCCGCGAGGACTTACAAAGCGTATGTTGGTGCTCACTGCATTACTGCAGCACAAGTGTAGCTGTGTGTAGAAGGTGAGGACTGGGTACTTTTAAACTAGAAAGCATGATCCCTGGCATCAAGAGGTTGGTGGCTTATCGAGGACTTACAAAGTGTATGTTGGTGCTCACTGCATTACTGCAGCACAAGTGTAGCTGTGTGTAGGTGAGGACTGGGTACTTTTAAACTAGAAAGCATGATCCCTGGCATCAAGAGGTTGGTGGCTTAGTGTCTGTAGACTTTATGTACTACAGTCTAATTCCAAATTCGAGGTTCTCGTCTTGAAATTTCACTCCTCATCACCACTTACCACAATATGAGTGTAAATATTAGTCTTGGCAAGGGAAAGTATTGTTTCATCATCCAAACTAAGAAGTTTTGGTCGGGGCTTAATTCTCGGCTCCATTTTCATGACATCATCATCAAATTTCAAATCCTGGGATAATATTGATCCTTCTGAATAGTTTTTGCTCTCTTCTGTGATGATATTATTGAACGTAGAAAATAAAGAGTGGGCCTTGACCTGAAAATTTATATGAAATGTTCAAATTTTGGTTGGTGTATTTATCATTTTGAAAGACAGACAGGCTATGGAAAAAAGATGAAATGACTTTTCTCAGTTATATAGTACAGTAATATCTGTGAGAGTCAGAATCATTATGAAATCTATGGTTAAGACCAAGGACCTTTCACACCCACCACAAATTTCTTAAAACTGGCAAAAAAACCATTTTAAATGTTTTATAACAAAAGACTAGAAAAAACAACAACAAAAGACTAGAAGTCATGAGGTATAAATCAGAAGGAACTGAATTCACATTTAGGAGAAAAAATGTAAACTCTAGCCAAAACATATGCGGGAGAAAAGCACTTAGAAGATCAGATTTAAAAAAATAAAAAATTGATGTTCAGAGCAGGGTGCTGTCCTCATTAGAAAATTAAGTAATTACAGTAAGAATTGAGAAGAACTGAGCAAGAGCTGTAAAAACAGAGACGGCTCCAGAAGAAACCAAAATAGTTCACCAAACAATCTCTTAAGGCCGAGGAGAATAAGACATCTACAATTTTTTTAAAAGCTGCTATAGTAAACAATAGGGTAAACACTTCAATGTTGAAATAAAAACAATCATTAACATAAAAATGTGTAACAAATGCTGAGAAACCAGATAGCAGCAGATCATATTAGGAATCTGGAAGCTAGTGTGTAGCAATCAAAAGAATAACATATTTGCCCCTACGTACTGAAGGCAGAAACAAGTCCAAAGCACATTGTTAAAAGGAAAAAAAAATCCCAGAAGACTTAGAAATTACATGTATAGATAAAATGGTATATGTTGTTATGAATGTAAATGTACAAAACAACAACAACAAAAAGGACTGAAAGCAAATCCGCAGAACTGTTAACAGGGAGAAGTGAAGGCTTAGTAGAAAGGCAGATTTTCATGTTTAGGCTGTACTGTTACATATAGTTTGAAGCTTTTCCAGTGAAATTATATCATGTGTCACTTTTATAGTATATCTGCATAAGACAAACATTTAGAGGGCCGGGGATTTAGCTCAGTGGCACCGTGCCTGCCTCGCAAGTGCAAGGTCCTGAGTTCAATCTCTGGTACCAAAAAGAAATAAATAAAACAAAACAGAATCTATTAAATACTTAGGTAGTAAAATGACTTGTTTTGAAAATTAAGACTTCACCAAACAGCCAATACACATACACACACATGCACATGCAGTGGTATCCACACACTAGGCACTGTACATGACATAACATTGACAGGCTACAAATTACTATTCTGTTCCTATTTAAGGAATTTCTCCTCTTAAATATATCTAATGATCCATACCACTGTAATATACTCAAATTCAACGATGTACTCTGGCAAAACAAGGTCATGATCAAAGACAAACCACTTGCACTGCCGAAAGCCACAATCACAATTTCTTTGTCCCGTGACAGAATCTAGTGGAAAAGACAAAAACAAGCAAGGCATTCAAATATACTTTTTAACTCATACATAGATTATATAATAAAGTGTTCTCAAAAACTTGCAACAATTATATTTTGAGGGCTTTTAAAAAAATCTCCCCACCCTCAGCTTCTTAACTGTATTCATATTTCTTTTCAGTCCACAGACTAGTGGAGTTTACCTTTACTCAAATCCTTTTCCCTTTTATATTTTTTCACGTTACTACTGAATAAATGGCTATGTATTTTTGAGGAATGTATTGCTTTAAAACCTTTGTCGTTAACAGTTGAGGTTCTTTTTCTTTGAAAATTAATACATTTATGTCACACAGGCAGGCAGGCACAGTCCTTTACACCCACAGGACCTGCATCGGTGGATTCAACCAACCACAGAAGGAAAGTATGGAAACAAAGTCTGCAGTGAATATATACGGACTTCTTCCTTGTTATTCCATAAACATTACAGCATAAGAACTATTTAAAGAGTGTTTATACTGTGTTAGGTATTAAAAGATGTATAGAGACTATATAGGAAGACTGTGCAGGTCACACACAAGCGCTACATCGTTTCATAGAAGGGACCCGAGCATCCATGGGTTTTGGTGTCTGTCAAGATGAGCGGCCCTGGAGCCAATTTCCCAAAGATACTGAGGGATGACTTGTGTAGGAACATCGTAATTACAGTATATATAAATGTGTGAAATAGACTATGCACACACAAAAATAAGTTCAGGTAGGGAATAGAAAAATTATTAGTATCCAGAAACAGATTTTATACAAAAATTTACCAACTTGGTTAGGTAGAGGTTAAACTATATGCTGTAAGCTATAAACTGTTGTATTAAGTATAAATGTTTTCGATTCAGAGAGATTAAACTGCATTTCCTTTACGGTGGGCATACTTCGTAAATATTTCTGAGGAATGAACACGGAATTAACCATGGGATAGTTGGCTTGACTGATGGATTCCTGTTCACGAGCTTGAATACTCTGGCCAAGAAAAACCTTTGTAAGGAGGAGGATGCCTAAATGAGAAAAAAAAAATAATTTTTAATAATAAACCACTTCAGGAATTTTCCACTATAAACTTCTCTGTTGGTTCTGACTTATCGGACTTGATTTACATTTTGTAAACACAAAGACCTGGCTATACTGCTTGTCATCTTACAGCACACATCCCCACCACGTGATCCAAAATACCTGGAGGAGGCACGCAACCAGTATTTCCTGAATAAATGAGGAACCATCTGATTATGTGAAGCAAAGGCTTACAGAAAAGAAAGAACACATTTAGCCATGTTTTTCTGAAGTCATTTAAAATGTCTTTTTGTTGTTAAATAAAATTTATATAGCTTAAGACACTAAAAGGCACTAAAAACACGTGAGAATTTTTCCCTTTAGATTAAGATCCTAGGATTCACCTAAGTACTAAAGATTCCTAAGAATCAATAAATCTGAAAAAATCATTTCCAATCACTACATATAAAACAGTCAAAAGGTTGGTTTTACAATGTATGAGACAAAATGTAAATTGGAGGAACATAATTGTTTTTGGAAAACATATTCTGTAAGGTTTTGGTAGAACATCATGAAGTACTTCTTAAGATGGGAATGGAGAATTTTTTTTAAAAGTAGCAAATGGTTTTTTCAAGTGAGGCATCCTTAATTCAATAATTGGTAGAATTTTCTCATTATTAACTCACTGCAAAACACACATACTTCAGTCCTACACAAACCATCTTAGCAGATCTACAGCCTGGAAGCTGCTCTTCTTCCCCATTCTGTGGGCAAACTCTTTCACAAGTGTCCTGAAAATTGTTTCCTATACTTACTATGTATGTATTATTATTTTTATATACTTCTGTACATATTCATTTATATATTTTATATTATTATACCATGTATTGTTATATTATGTTTATATATGCTTATTGTGTATTATACAATCTTTTGTATATATAACATATACATAATATATAATATAAATAAACTTTTGACTGTTTTATATGTAGCGATTAGAAATGATTTTTTCCAGTTTTATTGATTCTCAGGAATCTTTAGCACTTAGGTGAATCCTAAGGATCTTAATCTAAAGGGAAAACATACTCATATGTAACATGTATGTATTTACATATATAATTCACTTTAAATATATAGTGAATAAAAATGCTCACATGTAATATATATATATAGTAATTTTAAATAATAAAACTTTATCTTCTATAAAGCAAACCATGGACTTCACAATTTGTCTCTAGCTGATTTTTCTTACCATCTTACATTATGATTATTCAAGACAAATAAGTCCTACCATCTAGAGTGCTTTATGAGATTATTAGATACGTGGGCCATTTTCTCTTCTTCCTGTGACTCTGCTGCGTATGTAACATGTATACATATTTGCGTGCATTCACATATACAGCTATGTTGCATTTATTTTTATGAAACAACATAACTAACAGGCTGCGAAAAGCATATGTAAATTGTATTAAATGTCTGAATGATAAATGACTCCACTAACGCTGATACAGAGTGAAATACACTAAACATTCGTTGACAATGTGGCTAAATTAATAAAGTCTTCATCATTACATTAATAAATATAAAGCAAAATGGTTTGATGAAACCTCCTGGGTTAGGAAGACCAAGTATCAAAAATGATATAAAAATAATAAACAAATCTGAAAGACTTCAGAGTTCAAAAACACTCTATACTTGTATTACCATGTCTGAAGAGCTCAGGATTAAGAGAGCTTTTCTTCTCATCCTTGTATTTTTGCTGTAGAAACTCAATTCGGGGACATTCACACATACTTAAGCTGTTAGCAAGGATAACGGCTTCCTTTTTGAGAGGCAGCTGCAAAGAATAAACACCTGAGTTTTTGTGTTTTTTTTATAAAACTAACAACACCTTGATCTCAATACAGATGGTTTATTGTTTTGTTTATGTGTCTGGGCAAAGAAATGTGCAGGCCATGCTCAATGAAAAGAAGCAGATCCCCTCCAGGTGCAACTTCATTCTGCAAAGCCATTTAAATATTTTAAATTCATGCACAAATAGGTTTATACAAAAGTGGGATAGAACAAAATCTGCTCCTGGAATAAAAAGCCAGTCAGGTCTGACCACACTGCCGGGCATGGGCAATAGCTTTCAATGAGCACTCAATTAGCAATCTTGTTAAATCCAAAAAGAAAGTCCTGTGGCAACGGGGTGGCACATCAGTGAAAGTTCTTATTTATGATGTTTTGGGATAATCGTCTTCATTGTTCTCCGGGAACAAAATATTGGGCTGGGGATTGAAAGCACAAGAGACCCAAGTTCGATCTCCCGTACAAAAACAAACAAACAAACAGAAACAAAATATTTCTTATTGTGCCAATGCATCAAAATTTCACTTTGCTTTGTGACTAACTTTATTTCTCAAAAGTGTTTCATCACTTTTGCATTACTTGCTATGCAAACAGCTCTAAAAAGCAAAATAAATTTCTATTTTTACAAATAAAACTAGAACTCAGACACTACATGACCTGTTCAAGAACAGAATTAGAAATTAGCAGTCATGACTTAAACACAGATCATTTGTTCTTGTTACAATCACAGAGTTTTAAATTTGTCACTTGTTTTATATTAGCAGCCACATTATTTAGAATTATAACTTTTCTGAAATGGTAAGTATATATTTTTTCTTATTGAAATATATTATCCAAAGAACTTCTTAAAAATCAGTAATTAGCCAGGTATGATTGTCATGCCTATACCCAGCACTGTGAGAGGCTCTGGAGCGGGGCCACAAGTCTGAGTCTAGCCTGGGCATCCTGTTTCAAAAAACAAACACATTAAAGAACATCTTGGGCCAGTTGTAGTGGTGCATGCCTGTTATCCCAGCACTTGGGAGGCTGAGGCAGGAGGACTGCCATGAGTTTGAGGCCAGCCTGGGTTATATAGTGAGTTCCAGGCTAGTATGAACTGCATAGTGAGACCCTGTCTCAAAACAAAACAAAACAAAACACCTTTGGAATGTAGCTCGATGCAAATGGCCTGGGTTCCATCCAAAATGGGTCATGTGACCACAATTCCCACACTCTGGTAAGTAAACCTCATATTGCCAATGATCATCACTGTCTGTTAACTCCAGCCTATGCACATAGCACTGCGAGGGTAACCCACGACCTTGGCCTTCAAAGGACAGGGGAAAACAGAAACAATATCTAAGAATTTAAAATACACAGCATCACAAGACATGTTAAAGAAGATATTCTTTTTAACTACAGTGATAAGGAAAGAATTTGAAGAGGTAATAGGATTGTGACTAGGCCTCAAAAGCTGGACATATTTCAAATAATCAGAAATTAAAGAGAAATTATTTTTAAGAGGAAGGAAATATATGAAGGTACAGAACAGCATCTATACACTTATTTCCCTGATTCGGACTAAGAATCTTTTTATAAACAAAGTCCTTGCCCTTAAAGACTAGTAGAGAAATGCACACAGATGACAGCATTCAGTAATCAAGGTGCTACAATAACAACTCTGCCATTTAATAGACTAACACTTGACAATTTGCAGGATTATCCAGTAACCCACTGTTCTCTGTAATCCCCATTCAAGGACAGGACGGGACTTTCTGAAACACTGATGTACTCCCACCCAGTCATGCTGCAGACTTTTCAAGTGTCATTTTTTTTCTTGAGTTTTGTTGATGCCAGTGGTAAGTGGTATTAAAATGATGCATATTGTAGAAAGCAATGAAATGGAAGGCAACTTGTTTCTCTGAGAACTAAGTAGAAAATTAAGTGAAATTTAATCGTGGTTGTTTGCCAAAATATGTCTGGGTGAGGCCAACGCCTAAGTTTTGTGGTGGTGAGTGGAATTCAAACAAACTATTTGGATTTTTGTATTCCAGATGCTTTGCCAGAATCTAAACACATTTTCAATTCTAAGGAAACCAAATATGAAACATGATTCTAACTGATACAAGGTAGTTTAGGGAGAGTTCCAATTTCACAGCCAAAGCTTTTGGCCTTATAAAGAAGCTTGAGAAATGAATGTAAATTTATGTGTTGAATTGACTATAGAATTTTTAAGTAAATAACGTTAACAGGTCATTTTAATTAGCTTTTTTAAAAATTTGCAAACAAGGAAACAGGGGGCCAGCATTTGAAAATTCAGGAAAGGCTTCACAGAAAACACCTCTGAGCCAGAGCTTGAAGGATAATAAGTAAGCATGGCACAGAGAAAGGGGAAGGAAACAGCACAGAGCTTGAAGGATAATAAGTAAGCATGGCACAGAGAAAGGGGAAGGAAACAGCATTTCATCAAAGGTAAACATGGCAATAACTTGTGTTTAGGAGAATTACAAGTACAGTTATATATGGCAATAGGAAGTCAAGTTGAAGTTAGTTTTTTTTCTCTACTCCAGCCAGCCCACTGCCTACCTAGCCCAAACCTCTTATCAAAACTATTCACACCCTGGGGCTGGGGCTTTAGCTCAGTGGTTCCACTGCCTGCCTCACAAGCATAAGGTCCTGAGTTCAATGCCCGGTACCAAAAAACAAAACAAAACAACACAACAACAACAACAAACACAAAACTACTCACACAGCTGTCAACTGAATGAGAGCCTGTTATGGCTGATATCTGGATGTCCCCCAAAGCCTCATGGGCTCTCAGGTGGGGCTCTGGGAGGTGACAGGTTCACGGGGGCGTGATAATCATCAGTGGGTTAGTCCCTGATTAGTCTACAGCTGAACTGCTGTTAGGAGGTGAGATCTGGTCCTAAGTGGGTCACTGGAGTGTGGCCTGGGAGGGATTTTCTCTTCCCTGCTCCTCCCTTTACTTTCTTTTCTTCCCTGCTATGCCTTGAGTTGCTTCTCCCCTGCCATGGGCCACCCTGCCCTGGAGTCGCCTGACTATGGATGGAAGCCTCTATAAACCGTGAGCAAAACCAAACTTTTCTCCATTAATTTATGCGTATCAAGTATTGTGTCTCAGTGATGAGAAAGTAACTCAGACAGAAACCATCTCTTAATGCAGCACATAATTATCTTCATTTGCCTATGCTTGTCATAGCACAGAAACCTAGCTCATCTGATCTTACACAGGGATGACTCCTCCACTTCTAGGGTCTTCATAATAAGAGTACTTGATGGTATCTGGAGAAAGGCAGAACAGTGAACGTTGATCTTGTGGGATTCTCATGTTTAGAGGCAAAATGAGGAACAACAAAGAAACAGTGACAGGACAATTAGAAAATAGGAAAACAGCAGGAATGTAATATTGTGGATACCAAAGGAGAATTTCAAAAAGGAGAGGGAGTCTAACAAATAGCATCAAATATTTTAGACAATAATGGTAAAATATATCGAAAACTTTCTATGTAGCAGGCACCGCTACATGAACTTTTTTGTCTTTTTGGTAACTTTAAATAATACATTTTGTTTAACCCAATATATCCAAAATATTATTTCAACATGTCATCAATATAAGAAGTATAGTCTTTCATACTAAGTCTTACAACACTGGTATTCATTTTAAACAGGCACATTCAGTTTGGACTAGCTACATTTCTATTGCTCAGTAAGCAGTGGTTACCCTGGTGGACAGAGCAGCACTGACAGCTGTTAGGAGAATTAAAGAAGAAAAAATCATCTCTTTTAGAAGATACAGAAGAAAAACCATTTGACACAGTACCGGTGAGCAGAGAAAATGAAGCGTCCTCCCCTCCCTCACCCCACCTTCCGGGGCTATGACGGGGTGTAGTTCCCTGAATCAACACGAACAGTCCCTCTGCTTTCTGCAACCCTGACTTCCTCACCTGCTGGCTGCCCTAATGGGAAGTACAGTGAGCACACTCTCACGACCCCCATCCGGCCATAGCCACTGCGGGGGCTTCCCTGCATAGTACCCTGCCCTCTGCTCTTTCTCCCTCCAACCCAATCTCCAAGGAGCAGCCAGAATACATTTGTGGGGATTTTATTACATAAAATATAAAGATGACTTTACTGCTTTTTGAACAATCAATCCAGTGTCATTACTTCATTTACATTGTTGCACAACTTTACCCCCTATTCAGTTCTACAACCTTTTCTGTATCAGACTGAAACTCCTTATGTATTGAACAGTAAGTTCCCACTCCTTCATCTCTCTCTCTGTGCTTTCTTTCCCTAATTTACAGATCCTAAGTATTGCTTCCTGGCTTATTTCTTTTAGCCTAATGTTTAAAAGTTCTTCCTTATGTCAGAATTTCCTTCTTTAAGGCTGATGATATCCCACTGTTTGTAGGTACTGCTTTTTCTTTATCCATCATCTATGGCTGCACATTTGGCTATTTCTACTCTCTGGCTATTTGAATAGTATTCAATAACTACTTCATGCACTCTCTCACTAAATCCTACCAACAATTCTGCAAAACAGATACTACTATTCACTTTACAGCGAAGAAAAAACAGGGGCACAGGGATGAAATCTTTTGCAGTGGCGAGTAGCAAAGTGCGGACTCAAGTGCACCAATGTTAGAATTTTACGTGTGCCATTTCTGATGTGGAAATGGTAGGGAAACTTCTGCTAAGTAACAGTGTGCTGCAGTTACCTTGTCTAGAGTGTGAGGACTGAACAGAGTTGGCTGGGTATTCTGGAGTTCAGGAGTAGTCAGCGAGAAAGCCACGTGGGCCTTACAGTGGAAGACAGTGGGGTAGGGAAGAGAGAGCTGGTGGCAGTGGACCGACAGAATCTAGGGTGGGTTCCCAGAAAGGCTGGCTTTCTGCATGTAACCTAGAAAGAGCAGCAGAGTTAAGAGAATGGCTTTTTTTCACGTTAGAAAAGACCCTTAAGGAGTTTCAATAGATATAAGATTAGTAATAAGTTTACAGCCACTTAAGGAGATTTCAAAGGCATTAACAAAAGGATCACAATACAGTACAAAAACAAGATGCCTAGAAGGATTAAATATAGCTCACGGATAAAATAATTCATGGGGATACGGGAAGGATGCTACGCTTTGTAGGATGTCACTAACCTTTCTGTGAAACAGCCAGAGTTTGCTAGAAACATCCATCAGTGAAAAGACAAGGAAACAGGCCTAACCTGTGCCAGAGCTGCACCCATGAGAGAGAAAGCCTGAGTCTAACTGATGTTTTACTCTACCTTGCTTGTTTCACTCTCTTTGAATCCTTTTTCAAGTATCTGTAGCACATGCTTTTTCTTCACTGTAACTTCAGGATCAAAAACATAAAAAAGGCATTCCAGCATCTTGCGATAGCTCCTTGAGAATAATTGGAACAGAAGGAAAAAACAAAACAAAACAGTGGGAATTGGTTTCACAAAAGGTTAGGTAAAATAATCACATGCCTTGCGGAGACATTTCTGTTGATAGTGGATGTTCCCTCAGTTTTAATAACTTTACTCTCCGCCCCCACTCCAAAAAGAACCAGTGCAGATAGATAAATGAGGTCATCATAGCTAGGGTGTATTTTTAATACTGTTAACTTTTAAAATAGTCCTTTTTCAAATAAATAAAACAAAGCCTGATTTTTATAAAAGTTTTCATCATGAAATTCAATTTCTTACTCTGAATCATGCATATCTCCATCATCCAAAAACTTATGAAATTTCTCTTCAAATTTAAGTCTCAGAATACGATTGGTAACTTTAATGACACGTTTTATTTTTACTCCCGTAATACCAAATGTTCGGAAATCCCATGTACAGAAGCGTGATAGAATTAATTCATAACAGGAATTATACCTATGTGGGAATACAACATGTACATAAAGAAAATAACAGATTTTATTTTGGTTCAAATCATACATACTTAGTCAATCAATAAAAGATGCTAAATTCTGAAATACAGTGAAAAAGTTTTATTATTAATTAGTCTATATTTTTTTCTGACAAGAAGCTAACTTGTTTGACCAATCCTCTCTTTCTAAAATACTTTCTGCATCCGGTCTTGGTGAAACTACATATTCCTGGCTTCCTGCTTACTGGGTGCTCCTTCCTAGCTTTCTCTGTGGGTTCTTGGGTAGCAGACTTCTGGTTGGATTTTCACAGGGATCCGCTTTAGGTTTTCATCTTGCCACAGACACTCTCTCTAGGTGATTTCATCTGGTCCTTAGCTTTGCATATATTCCCATAAATTACAACATTTTATTTCTAGCCTTTATCTCTACCCAACGTACCTGTGTATACCCAGGCTAGACTGTCGAATTACCTACGTGATACGTCCATCGGTGTGAGTCATGGCTCTCTCAAACATAACTTGCACTGTAACTGACCTCAAACTCACTCCTCCTGAGTGTTTTCCATCGCAGTACCATGTATGGCACAACTACCTAACTCGCAGCCTAGGTTTGAAACACAGAAATAACCACCTCCTCTCTTGCTTGCCGATGTGGAATTCTTGAGTATGTCTGTGTGGTCCGAACACATATTTTGATCTAAAGTACAACCTGACATGATCACATTTTATCACTACTATTGTCATATCCTAGTCCAAATAATCATTACTGCTCAGCTGACTACTGTTACAACTTCCTAAGCAGCAATTCAGAAATGAGAGAGACAATGTCTCTGCTCTCATGGAACCTACCTTTCAGGAGCAATGGCAGAAAGTGAACAGGTAAAGCCAAAAATAGAATAATTCCTAATTTTAGCAACTACCGAAAGATCTGCATAACTTAACTGAATAAATCGATATTTTTCAAATGGCCAAAATGCATAAGGTTACATGTGAAATATTTGAAGAAATATTTGAAGTACTATAGTTAAATAATAATTAAAGTATAAAAAGTTCACTGATTTGGTTTCAGATTCCACACTGGAATTAACCTATTGATGTATCAAAACACAATATATCACAATAAATTACAGAAGCACTTGTAAGAATTTAGCCATCTTCTATTCAGCCAGATATTAAAACATTTTGCAAAAAAATGTAAAATAAGAATATTCTTCCCAGCAGTGTTTTTTTTTTCTATTTTGGAAAATAGTTATCTTTCATTAAAGTATTATTTATGAAAAAAAAGATAGAATCCTGGAGAAGATGTCAGAAAAGATATCTGATCTGAGGACAAAAGGAGGGGTGCAGATTTTAAGAACACGGAGGCACTAGAGATGTTGGTTGACTTTCTGCTATCTGGTTTAAGGCTACAGAATCTAGATTGAGGTTTTAAAAATAGAACATTCTGACAAGAAAATAGGGGATGCATGTAAATATATATGGGTCAATTTACCATTATGGACACTCTAGGCCCTCATATTCAAAATCTACCAAGGCCTGAACTTGAGTGTGAGCGAAGATCACAGAGTGAGCTTCCCCTTGAGCCTAATACCTGAGCATCTAAGCTGCCCAAACCCAACTGATCTCAGAGGAGTTTACAGTCACTAGAGGAGACAGAAATGAATAAAACAGTGTTACAGTCCAGAATGATACTGCTAACCAGTTCAAAGATCTCATGAAAAAGCCACATTGCCAAGTGCAGTTGAAAATTTGCTGTGCCTAGAGGGATCACTTCCTGAATCTAAATTAGCCACATTTAACCTAAATAACAAGTCTTGGAGCCACTGAAGCTGTCTCTGATAGGGACTCACGCCATAGGCATTTTAGATAAGGTTTTTGTGATTTAGTGGATCATAGCGGGGCTGGAGTTATTTTCATGGATGGACAATATTCAGCTTCTAGTCTGGGTACAGATAGCTCCATGAAAGAGTTTTCTTTTTCTGCCAGAAATCCAGCAGCTGAGCAATGATAAAGCTAGGGTTAGGGACACAAAGATATTCTGGGTGAAGCAAGCAAAACAAACAAAACCATTCATGTGGTATCACCTGTGAACCAGGAACAGGAAGCATGGTCGAAAAGGAGTAATGATAATTTAGAGACATCAAATTCTGCTCTGTAGGTGAAGGGTCTAAATACAATTTGAAATGAAACAGCAACTAAAGGTTTTCATTTGGTTTTGTTTTTAAGAGTGCTTTCTGTGAAGGAAGCAAGCCAGCAAGAATCATATGAGAGACCATTTAGGAATCTTTGCTGATTAACGATCATTGAGCACCTGCTACACCAGGCACTGAGATAAGTGTTGGGACAAGAGCCAACTCGTGGCACCTGGCTGGTTGTGGAGACTGAGGCAGAGAAAAGGTTCAAGAATGTCTTTGATGCTTGTTGAGAATGGGTAACCAAGAAGACGTCAAAACCCAAATAGAACAAAACAATAAAAATTCAAGGTGAAGTATTTTCACATGACCTCACCTACACCTACTGTTACCTCATGCAGTCATGGGGGTGCTTTTCAGAGGGGGTGGATCTAGAGTGTGGGGTACTGGGATCAAGGGTGTGTGATCTAAATCATTTCACTGATGGTTTGGCATAGCCCTGGGTAGGATGGAGGGTGTGAGTGCTATCCTGCCCTAGGGGGATAGCCTTGCATAAAAGGCAAGGGACAGAAAGAGGGCCAATGCCCGCTCACCTTCCTGCTTGCTGTGGACTATTTCTCTTCAATGCCCCTCTGCCAGCCAACTATGGATCGAAACCTCTACAAACTTCAAGCCAAACAAAGCTTTCCTTCTTTAACTTTCGGTGTCAGGTATTTTGCCTCTGCAACGAGGAAAGTTTAACTAAGATGTAAGTTCAGGTGGACTAAATGGTTGTTTCCAGATTACAGTTCGAACCTAGCTCTTCTGTCTCCTTTGATGTATTCTGTTACATCTTTTCTTTTAATGTGTTGAGTTTGCTTTGCCAGTTGGACATCCAGGTAGAAATATCCAGGAGACGTTTCTCTGTCTAATAGCCTCAGGGCTAGCGTCTAGGAGAGAGGTTGTAACTACAGGTAACATGAAAGCACAGCAAAGGAGACTCAGAAGGAAAGGCATAAAAAATTAGAAAACATTTAAATACAAAAATCAAGAGGAATGGAATTACAAGGAAGGAGTGGCTGACAGTATCAAATGCTTTATGGTCAGGAGAGTGAGGGCCCTCAACTTCCCTGAGTACCCTCACTTAGAGAGACCTGAATTTGTAATTATTCATACTGGTGTTTATCAAGAACTAAGACACGCAATTACACTAAAAGATGCCTACAGACTTTTGTTAACATGCGAACGATGTGTTTAACAACATAGAAAGCACCCACTTTCAAATGGTTAGAACTTAATCTATTAGATGAAGGCTTACTACATACTGTTAACTGACTTGCTGATTTAAGCCAATGTTTTCTTGTATACAACGTTTTTGCTGCTACAGCTCCTAAAGAGTACAGCATGAAATCTTTACTTATAGTTAAATTATTGAAAATATATACATAAAAGTGAAATTGTTAAAGGAGTACTTATAAGTACTTCATAAGCCACACAGGAGCTTATAGATACTCTTTTGTGGTGCTTTAAAGTTTCGTTTTAAATTAAGCAGAAGAACAGCATTTTCCTTGCTCATGAATGCTGTCTAATGTTGAGGGGTAACTCACTTGGCAACACATAGGTAAATCTGCAATGATAAAGCTAAAGTGGCAGCAATCAACTGGTAAGTCTCTAAAATAATGACGTTAGAATCAAAAAATATAACTTTCATAAAGGAAATTAAGATGTGTTCAATAATATACAATTAGAAATCTGCAATTTTTTTTTACTAAAGTAATAAAGGCTGTTTTACTAGAAAATCTATTTGAGTCCTACTTCTGCTCAAGTGTTTTTTATAAAGTACTAAATCCTTGACCTTAGAAATATTAAGAAGAAATCAATGTTTAAATAAAACAACTAGAAATGGAGCAGATTCCAGTTTAAAGCACTTTAGTTATTATTTCTTAATATACATTAAAGATCAGCTCCAAGATGGCCAAATCTGTAATATTCTTAAAGTAAAAAAATAGTCCTTGAAATTCTGCCATCATACATTTGATTATCTCCTTAAAATGGATCAAGGTTATTCTTATCAAAATCAAATAAACAATTGTTCATGCTTATCAAAATGTAACAAAGCAATCTAATTTGGTATTAGGCTGATATACTTATCTAAATACCTTTTCAGTAATTTCATTTTTAAAAATTTTTCACTAGTCTAGTTTTGTTAAGATTTTTTTTTTTTTTTTTGAGATAGGGTCTCACTGTGCAGTTCATGCTAGCCTTGAGCTCACTATGTAACTCAGGCTGGCCTCAAACCCACAGCAATTCTCCTGCCTCAGCCTCCGAAGTGCTGGCAATACAGGAGTGAGTCCCCATTCCCTGCTAAGCCACTACACCTGGCTAAGAGCTTACTTTGCAGTAAATTGAAAAAAAGAAACACAAGAGACACCATTTAGTTTTACAATTGAAAAATCATGTCTTTAGTTGTTTATGCAGGAATTGACATGAATACCTTTTATCTTATACATAAAACTCAAGTACCAAACAGTGTAAACTGCTATGTAAATGGATAAAATAATACGAAATAAAGTTTTTAAAAGTCTCTTTCTTTCGCTCCTGAGGGTACTTCTCAAGAAGACCTGTGAGAAGCTTTTATTCACTTAAGAGTAAAAATTATCTCTAATGGAAATCTAGGGGCTTGGCTTAAAGAAACTTCTAATAATCACTTTTTTTTCCAAAAAATTCATTTTGCATTCTACTCCTCAACACTCGGTGTTTATTTTGTGACTGGCTCAGTAAACTGTGTTCCACATCAAGGCACCAAGACCACTTACAGCGCCTCCTGGTGAACCTCAAACACCTGTATTCGCACTATGGTTCCAGGGCAACCCCTGATGGTTCACAGGCTCCTCAATTTTGAGAAAACAACTTCAGAAATATGAAAGTCATCATTAATGACAGTTTTCATCCAGGCTTTCTTTTTTCTTTAAGCGTTGTGCCAGGTAATACACTCATTTCCTATTTCTTCTGACAGCTAGGTCTTGGAGGTGAACTCCATTTTCTGTTTCTCTTCCCTGTAGTTCTCTCTAACTTTGTCTATATGGGCTGTTGATCCCAAATCTGGGCTTAAGCACATGCCTTAGTAATGTGTAGTGCTCGGCTGCACCCTGACCACACAGCTAGCTCTAAATAAAATTTTTCTTTGATCACGGGACTACAGGATACTTGCTAGGAAAACTTCCTTCTATGTTAACAAGGCTATTTGCTTTGGTAGTCCCATTGTGTTTTAGTTTCTCAACCAATATTCAGAATCCAGGCCTCTATCCAGTGCAGAAACTTACAACAGAAACCTAATACTTTACTATAAACTATTTCTTTCTAAATAATTCTCTGGTTCTTTAGCACAGGATAACTGGGTAAAGATCGATGATATATCATTAAGATGCCTTCAAGGTTAGCTGACAGTGACAGTGTAAACAGAGAAATGCATAAGTGGTAAAGTAGGTAACCACCAATTTTTGTTCAATGAGGATTTTTCACGAGAATATTTGGAGAGGGGGACATTTTAGAATTATAAGCTGATATTCTAGTTGATGAAACCATTACTTAAAGTTATTTTAAAACCATACTTATTTCCATTTCTTCATTTTCTCATATTTTTTTTCTTTTCCCTTATTCCCTTTCCCCTACCCTTCCCACTTTCCCTACACCTTTAGCCCTTTTCTTCCTATTTCACATGGTCAATTATGTCATTAGGATCTTATGTACTATTAAAGTTTTTCACACCAGAGAAACTATTCGGTATTTACACGTGTGACTTATTTATTTCACTTAGGAGTATATCCTCAATATGTATCCATTTTCCTATGAATGAATCCAATTTCTCATTCTTTATGGCTGAGTATTCAATGAAAAAAAAACATACTTAAACTTCAAACAGATTTACCAGTCATCAGATCTAGTCCCTTGTTCAAAATGGATATTTCCCACCATTTCCAATTCAATTAGCAAAAATGAGATCAGTAAGCCGTGGCTTTTTTTCTTTTGCTTTACTTCAATATGATAGATTGCTTCAATTCTAGTGAAGAAAAAAATATATACAGCTATTAGAATGATCTAAAAATCATGAAAATTCATGATAGTTTCTTTTAGCTGATGTTAAAATATATCAGTTTCCTTTTTTTCAGTGAATGAAGAAAGCTTTTTAATACTTAAACCAAGTCAAAGACATTCTTCTTTTTTCAATTTACAACCACCTTAAATTTTAACTTGAGGATATATAAAGATTAGAAAACTACCCTGGGTCTAACGCTGCAGCTTTTTTAAAATCTTAAATAATTTTCACTTTTTTATGATTTTATTTTCTCAGTAAAATGGCAATACTATTTCATATCCATGTCACAAAAGGCTGTCTGAAGGCTTATACACTGCTAAGACTCACAGCAAAGAGTGAGGCACAGAATAAACTCCCCATACCAAAATGTTAAAAATGTTATTGTTAACATCTTTATAGGGCAGGCTAATTTAACCACTTAATGCCGTAAATGTAAAAATAAATAAATAAATAAATAAAAATTCACAGTTCTTACTAAGCCTCCTTATTTAAATTTTTAGTTGATGACATGCACATGAACTTGTTCTCACAGGATTCAGACAACTGTGTATGTACCTGGCCGGATCTCATTGGTTTGGTGAGTCCCTCTGCCAGCAGTACCCTTTTGCTTTCAGTGTACAGAGATGCAACAAGAAGGCACATAAAAGAGGTTCACTGTTCCTAATTGACAACCACCTCTACCACAGAATGCAGGCCAGCTGTGACCAGGGGATGCATGCTCATTACACACTAGGAAGTGGACTAAGGAAATCATATCACGTCTTCATTTTCTATCCTTTCCATTCCTGAATAAGGATACTGAATTTAACTGATGATCCCCAGACATTCTTAGCTTCTCATATTTCAACTCTGAATGACATAATTCTTTAAACATACTCATCTAGTTTTTTGTTCCAGAATGTTACCCTTTCATTTAAGGCATTTAGTTTGATCATTATCTTCTGTTGAAGATTTGGTTCTTCTATGACAGTTTCACAACTCTTCGATTTTTCAACCTCAGTGACTTTATTGTTATTGGATCTGTCACTGTGCCCTTTGCCAGATCTCTTGAGTTCAGCCAATTCCCGTTCCAACTGTTGAAAACCACGCAACAGAAAGGAAAATAATAAAACATGGTAAAAGTGAAGTCTGAATTCAGTTATCACTTCTTTAGTGAGATCTGTTAAATAGCTTAACAAGGTAGAAATTTAGGTAATAAACAGGGCAGGCGTCATAACAGCCTCCCAGGCATGTGATAGCAACTTTGGTGAAGTTCAACTAATTTCCTCTGAGCAAATGATAGCTGTAAGTACTTCAAACATGGCAGTCTCTCAATTCAAAATAAGAAAAGCAAAGAAATTGATTCTGAAATTTGATGTCTGCTTATATTAAAGCCAAAGTAAAATTAAAATAAGTGCCAGCTTTGATGTAAATGAAATATTTAAACTTTGAAAATTAAGTTCTGATTTTTTGGACACCTACTTGTCAGTGACTTTTCAACATAAACATAAGCTTATTTTTCCATGATTCCAGACAACTGTGTATGTACTCTACTGTGTACATGGTGTTCTGGGGAAAAGTCAACCACAAAACAATTAAGAAAAGCTTGCATATAGGGGTACACATTTATCCTTTTTCCTTGGTCTCATATGTCTCAAGTCAGTGCAAGGACTGAACGGTCAAAACTGTGAGCCGAACTAAACTTCTTCTTTAAGTTGCAAGTGTCGGGTATTGCGTCTTAGCAATGAGAAAGTGACTAAGATACTTGGGTATTTTAAAATATTGCAGGAAATATTCTTTATCTTGATTGATTACTGAGGTTTGGAACATTCCCTTAAATTTTGAACCTAGCCAAGAGCCTTATTTACCTTACTGTAATCTTAATTTTGTAGTATTTTAAAATAAGTTGTATTGTACAGAAAGTATATGAATAGAAATTTACTAATTATCTGTATTTTCTCGGTAAAATGCCTATGTAGAGCTATATTTCTTTTTAAAAAATTAAGCCTATGTATAAAAAATGTTTATAGTCTACAAAATCTATGATTTTTATGTTTCACATTTGGAGATTTTATTTAATGCAAAGTAGGCATACTTAATCTGAAAATCCAAGATACGAAATGCTCTACAATCAAAATTTTTTGCATACATTTCAGATTTCAGATAAGGAATGATCAGCCAATTAATTTGCAAATATTCCAAAAATCTAAAAAAATTCCAAAATCTGAAGCATGTTTGGTGCCAAGCATTTCAGATAAGAGATGCTCAAGCTGTACTTGCATCTTCAATTAGCAATAATCACGCCTCGGATACACCTCATTGGCTACGATACTGCCAATGCACAAAGCTTGTACTTGCATTTTCATATGGAAATGGCAAATATGACTTTCAGGTACTGGTCTCTTGTGGTTTTTAGTCAAATAACTTACATTTTATTAAAATTTTACTTGGATGTTTTACTGATTATAATAATTAAAACTTCATTTTGAAAAAGTATTACATGCATTTCAAAAGCCTCCTTGGTTTTTACAATGTACTGCTCTGTCATAAACGTGAGCATCTCTCCTCTTGTTAAACAGGAAGTGTAGCTCCGTTTTCTTTCCTGTTATTAACAGTGCAGTGGTGAGTAAACGCTGAACGGAGTGTTAGGATAAATGACTAATAGTGCAGTGGTGAACAACCGGAGAGCGGAGTTCGAGACCTAGGCTCACTAAGCTAAGGGCTATGAGCACCCTAAGGCTCATTTCACCAGCCTGGGCTCTTGCATCTGTGCTTTGATAGCTGATAATTGAGCTGCTCTTTCGAGGGTTTATTGGTCATTATTCCCCCCCGCTGCACTCTTTTCTTTTCTCTCTCTCTCAGTGCTCGTTTATGTACTTCGCTTCCCTTTTCTATTTGGATATTTACTTTTTATCTTGCATCATTGAGAAGTACTAGCAGGTATTATACTAAGGATAAAAATCAGTGGTCCCTCATTTTTGTTGAAAACTTTTTCTTTCAGATTGTCATCTGTTGCTAACTTTTATTAATAATATTTTTAATATACAATCATTTTGCTTTTTTTAAGATTAAATCTGTATCTTATTCCTTTGTGATTTCTAGTACTTATTTTATGTAACAAACTGAGATAAAATACATTTGTATATGTTTATTCGAATTTTTTACATGTTTTTATTTTGCACATTTGATTTTTTTTACTCACTGCTATTTAGTTTTGGTACAGTGTAAACTGAGGACTCAACTCCCCTACTTCTAAATAGTTTGGCTATTTTTTTTAAAGCAATTTATTGAATACTCCATGGTTTCTTCAAACTTTTTTAAAAATAAAGCTTTAGGTACACAAGAGATTGTTTTGAGGAAAATAATCCTTAATTTTTAGGGTCTATTTTTAATAAGAGAAATGCAACTTTAAAAGCTTATACTACTAAAGTATAGCTTGATTCAAAGATCCTACTTTGCTGTATCTCTTTAACGGTGTTAGTAAAGGGATATTTTAACACTTTAAACAAGAAAATGCATTTTTAGCACAGGCTGCTGGTATCTAATAAAAATACGGCTGAAGTATATACAACAGATCTCTGTTACTCTCTCAGTCACACTGAATCTCACAGCTTTGTAAAAATTTCACAAGTACATAAGGCTATACTGGTTTTTAATTGAGGATTTCTAGTCACAGAATGCAGCCTGGAATCAAAACAATTTTTAGTGCAGGCCTGAACTGACATTCAGTATTAATTGTATACTTATATAAACTTAGAAGATTTTGCTACCTTATCTGACAATTTTTTAAAGATATATGACTGAAATTTTACATTATTAGATCTTACATTTTTTTCCACAAAGCTGAGTAACTTTATTTGTTCTTCTGGCAACTTTTGTAATTTGCATTTTCTATCATTTAATTTTTCAAGGTCTTCATTAAGATGCCTCTGAACAGTTTTTATACACATATTGTAATACATTATTTTTTTCATTACTGTGGTCTAAAAGTAAGAAACAAAACAACAAAAGATCAGGTAAAAGTAATCATGGGTCAGTACAACTGGTATTATGTGAGGATGACAAATTCTGCATCCCGATGGCAAGGTTCTCTTACTCAATTACAAATAATGAGGACAGCTGGAGGCCCATGGCTCACAGAGTTCTCTACTTAAATTTAATATGCAAACCATACAATTCCAAAGATGGCCTTTGTGGATAATATTTATGTGTGAGACATATTCACATTTATTTCCAGGATGACAGCATGAAGACAATAAAGACAGAATTTATAAAATAGTAACATTTAGCTAGTGAGACAGTACTACCAAAAATATACATAGCTACAATTATTCCAATTTGGCTAATTTAAGGAAAAATAAAGAAATAAAAAGAATAAGGATCAAATGTAACATTACTCAATTCATATTTTCAAAGCATGGCTATGAAGTAGGATTATTTTCCCCAAATCTATAAAAGGATGCTCTAAATGAACAGGTCTTAGTCTGAGCAAATTACTAAATTATCAATCTAATTCAATTATCTTAAATTTCTTAATATCATACATTTATTAAGTTGATCATGATACGTCAACTAAATCTACCCTTTTGAAACATACTACCTAAGTGGTACCTGACAGTTGTATCAAACAAAAAAGACGGAGGACAGTACAAATAACCAGACATGCTATGAAAATGTGACCTGGTTTTAGTCATTTACCTGAAATAATGAAAGAGCTTCTCTTTATCAAGAAATGTATATCTCAAAGAAATTGGAAAGCTTATACGTTTTAAACACAAATTTTCTACAGCTACAGGGGATCTTTTTATGTGATTTATGTATCATAAACATAGTATACTGATACCTCAGTTCACAAACTTTATTCATTCCATGATTCTGGAGAAAATGGCCATGTTGGTGTTCATGCAAAAAGAGATGGCCACAGTTATGTTTATCACCCAATGCAGAGTTCACAACAAAATTTTGCCAAGTACTTCCGCTTGTGAACCAAGCTGTTCACAAACAAAAGCATTTGTGACCTCAGGTGCCGGTGCATTAACTTAGATTCCAACAGAATTACTGGCATAAAAGAGACAGAGTAAAAATATACACATGGTATGTGAGCAGGCCAAAATAATTCCTCTATTCACAAATATTAGGAAGTTCTGAAATTGAAATTACTAAATTTCTCTGACAAAAATATTAGAAATATAAGACAAAAACTTCTTTTCTGAACATGCTGATATAATGTAAAATGTCACAAACTGTGTAACAATTCCTTATTTGTTATTTACGCTACTCCCGACGAGTAAGTGTTATAGTTTAGATCTGCAGTGTCCTCCAAAAGCCTCGTGTGTTTGGACAGCGAACGGCTCGTGAGGGAACTGTACTGAACGTGCTGAATGTGCTGTTAGGAATGTGGACCTTGCTGGGGGTGGCCACCGGTCACGTGACCTACCCATCCACACCATTCCCTTCCGGTTCACCCAGCCCATGGCTTTAAGCACTGCCTTTCTGTCTACGATTCTCCTGTCTATAGCTCCACCCTGAGAAACTCTCTTAGATTCCACAATCGCATACCCAATTACTTACTGATTATGTCCCGTTAGATGTTCAAAAAGCATTGAAACTTTGCCTAAGGTTAAATGTGATTCTTCCCTGTAAACCTACTCTCTGTCATCTCATCAAAAAACAAATTGCTCTTTTAATTTCTCAAGCTAAGATTTTGGAATTACAGTGGTACCTTGGATTGTGAATGCTTTTGTTTGCAAACACTGTGGTTCACAAACAGAAGCATTTGGCAAAATTGTGTTTTTATGTGCAAACTGCATCAGGTGACAAACATTCTGTGGCCGTCTTTCCTATGCAAAAACAAACATGGCCACCTTTTCCAAAATCACAGAGCACATTAAGTTTGTGAACTGTGGTACCTCCGTATTTTCTAGTTCTTTGTTTTGTACCTCATATCCAGTTCATTAGCCAATTCAGATTGGTTCCACCTTGTACTAACACCAGAATTCAACTTCTCACCTCTTTCTATATTAATACCTTGTATCAAAGCATTCAAATCTCTTGTCTAAATTGCTGGAGTAAACTCCTAAGCATCTATTCTGAATTCACTGTCTAAAACGATTCCTTTAAAAAGTATGTCATTCTATTCTTCCTCTGCTCACACATTTCCAGTGGCTACCATCTTACTCAAAGTCAAAGGACTTCTACAGAGTCTCACATGATCTGTCCCCATCATTCTTATTTTCATCTCTTACTTTTCTGTCACACACTCAACTGCAGCCAAACTTCCCTCTTGGTCGTTCTTCAAATATGCAGAGGTAAGTCCCTGCCTCAGGGACTTTGCACTTGTTGATCCCTGAAAATCTCTTTTCCCAGAACACAGCCTGCTCCTCACTCCCTTTGGTTTCTGTGCAAACGTCAATCCATCAGCAAAAGCTTTCCTAACAATTCTGCATAAAATAGCTGCACCCCTTCCTCTGCCCCTCCCAACCGTCCCCTTTCACTCACCCTTGTTTTACTTTCTCCGCAGCATTTATCATCATCTCACACGCTAGGTGTTTACTCATCTAGCTGCATATTAGCTGCCCCTCTCCGAAAAAAAAAAGCTTCAAGAAAGCAGAAGTTGGCTGGGTACTTGTCTCTAAAGGTTCACCATACTGGGTAGATGAAGGAGGTGGTCAACTAATTTTGTGGCGCATGTTCACTGTGTACATTTTGCACAATCTCTGCTACATATAAAACTACAGAGAGGATACCAAAATTTAAAAAATGTCACTGTTAATGGGAAGTTGTGCTGCTAATTTTCACTTAGCATTGTTAGAGACAAACAAGAGTCTCTCCTGACTCACCAATGACTCTGAACATCTGCCAGTAGGCAAAAGCACTGACCCTTTGCTTAGTCAGTATTGAAACATAATTTGCTTCTTATATTAAGGGTGAAAAAGAGAATAATTTCAACCTTAGGAAAAAGCGAAGAGAAGGGAATTTAAGAATAAATCCCTGAGCTAGCAAGAGAAGACAAGTTCCGACAAATAGATAAAGATACCCCTTAACTATGTTGCGATGATGATGTGCCATAAGGACAAGGTAGGAAGGTGTGTATGGGACATCTGTGTGCTTGGCCCATTCTAGTGACTCAAAAACTATTTACTGGATGATTATCTAAATAAACAGATGGGGCAAGGGGAGTGACGCTGGACTAATGCAGAAACTAAGTTAAAAAGCTCAGAGAAATCCCACGAACTCCATTTTGAAACTGCAGTTCCCTTGAAGACATGAAAAAGCAGCCCCCGTTACTGGAAAGTCCATCGTCAGTGAACACCCAAGAGCCACATTCTCTTCACAGTTTCAGAGATGTCCTGGCAGTATGTGCAGGGAGATCCGTGACACTTCCTGGGGATTTCCAACCATCTTTAGTTAGATTAAAATCTACCTAATTATTGATATACTACCATCAACCGTGAATACTATCTAACTTTGTTACAAAGTTCAGAGGAAATTCAAGAGGAAATGTGGTTATTTGCTACATTTCTACCTTTCTTTAAGCTTTGATTTTTGTATATGCTATACTAGTTTGGTTGGTCCTAACTTTGACAATGTTTAAGATTTCCTTTTTGAGTTTTGTATAGATGACAAACAATATAAACTCAATTTCAATTATTTCACTTTCCACTATTATCAACAACCTCTATAATGATATTATTATTTACATATTTTTATGTGAAATATTGGAGACAAAAACTGACTGGATAATCCAACCTACCACACGTGGACAGATCGAAGCAGTTAATTAACCAAAGTAAACTCACAGATACCTGTCGGAGTACACTTACATCTGCTAGCTCCTTGATTTGCTTTGCTGACACATCAAATGTGTCCAATCTCTGAAGGCAAGGCAGGTGGTATAATACGTGTGTAGAATAGTTGCACAGCTGACAAACCGGATTGCTTTTATACTGAGGATCATTCAAACACAAATCTTTCAAGGAAGGTAGCCTGGTTAGGTTAGTGAGGTCCTAAAACAACAGCAGTGACAACGTTCAATGAACTGTGAATGTCCATCTCTAGAGGAGACACTTGAACATGTAAGATCACCCAGTCTAATGTAATGCATTCTAATTACATACTTAAACACATAAATCTAGATGGTACAATGTTTCTTTCTAGAAAAAGGCATAATAAGTTCCTGAAGAAAATATACACAATAATTAAATATCACATTCTATGCAGCTGTATGTTTTAAATATTTACTAAACCATGCATTCCAGTTGGAACACTGGCGTCATCACACGAACACACGAACATTCAGGCAATGTTGCCACCGCTCTGCGTTCCCTTCCATTAACAACTGTTCCCAGGGCGCCTGTAGGCCTCTGCTTCTTTCACTTCATTCCTCATGCTTAGCACCTCCGAACATGGTTCTCCATCCTCCCTGCCCCCCAGATCTTCCATACTTATCAAGGTAAGAGGATCCATTCTATTACAATTGCTATGGGATTCCTGACTTTTTATTTTCTTGTTGGCTTGTTTTGTATGTCACGTAAGTACCTTTCTACCTATTATGGTCAACTGCGACTTAGCTTTCTTTGATGGCCTCATTTTCCTCACCACCTGTGAGGGGAGAGGTTGATTATGCACTCCTTAACATCTTTCATCCCGATTTTCAAGTCACTGTTTATACTTTCTGTACCTATCACCTGCCCTTTGCTTAACTCTTTAGTCTTGCTCCTTCCTGTTTTAACTCTAATATTTGCATGCCTGTAATACCAGTACTTTCAAAGGCTGAGACAGGAGGATAGTAAGTTTCACCCCATTCTGGGCAGCAATGGAGATACTTAGCGAAACCCTAACTCAAAAACAAGAAAGAAAAGAAAAGAAAAGAAAAATCCAAGGATATAGCTCAATGCAAAGGCCCTGGGTTCAATCTCCAATGCAAAAAAGCAAAAGCCTCACATTTTATGTCTCGGCCATATTGAACTGCTGAAGTTTCAGAGTGCGTCAGATAGATCCTATCTTGTGTTCATACCACTGCCGTCTCCTGGTCCCTTTGAGTCAAGTGAACTGCGTTCCATTTTCACACTTTAATCTGTCAGGTCCCAGCCCAGGTATCATTTTCTTGGAAGCCTTGTTTCACCCCACAAGGTCTGGGAAGAAGCTCCTCCCACAAGTTCCCTTATTATTATTTGATTGTGCATCCAAAAAGTTAGATGTCAAGGATCTATATGGAGTTTGGCCCTCAGCGCATAGACTCAGAATGGTATTTGTATTCTTAAAGTACTATAAAAAAAGACATAATAAACACTGGAATCCATCTGTGGTATAGAAAGTCTAAATCTTTTCTGTCTGTACTTCTATAAAATAAATTGGAAAACTATCAAGACAAACTCCTTGAATACAGGGTTTGTATTTGTTTGACATTATATTCCAAATATTCAGCACTTGGAAAACAGCAAACTCCAGTGAAATATATGAGCTGAGTGGTTATTTTCTACCAATCTCGAAGACATCCTCATACCTTCCTTTTTACTAGGATGTTGCCTTGTTTAGGAGGATACTATGGCTCTGTCAAACTTGAAAATACGCAATGCTATTTAGTAGAATCAGAGTCAGAGCTACAGAAAATTCAAAGGAAGAACCAGGAGGCATGAGTACTATAATAAAGTACAAACAGGATGGGAAAGAGAGGGTGGAGTCAAATTGCTAGAATTAAGAGTAGGACAAGGTCAAACTGCCAGTATATGTCCAAACTCAATCTGCACAACTAAAGACACAGCTCACTGGTCTGGCCCAAAGATAGGAATGAATCTACAGTTGGGATAAGACTAAGTAGGATTTGCTCTAAAAGGGACATTTTTGGAGAGAGATATATATATGCAGAGAATCATTTAGTCAAATTCTGTGAAGGTAAGGAAGATAAACCATCTAACTGTCCTAAGGAAAATGCTATCTTTTAATCAGAGCGTGGCTATGCTGCACTTCACCATCAGTCTGGACCAGGAGATAAGGGCATGAACCCAGAAGCCTTACACGAAAGTCCCCACCTACATTTAAAAGTCAGGTGACCCTGGAGTCCACAAAGACACAAAATCTCACTGAAAATCAGTGTGGTGCCTGGTATGGATGCAAGGTAGGCACAGAAGTTATTCCATTACTACTAGGATAGTATCTTTTTAGGGTGGGAGGAAAAATTAGAGATAAAAACCTACACAGTAAACTAGAAAGCAAAGTCTTGAAGATGAAGAAAAGAATCAGGGTGGGAGAGGAAAGAGATAAGGAGGTAAAAGGATTGAAAATGAGCAAGATATGTCATGTGCATGCATCAAGTCCCCAAAATGAACATCACTCTTCTCTACTTAAAACATGAGCTAATTAAAAAAAATCTAGAATAATTTAAGATTCAAGGAAAAGGGTGAATGAGCCATACAGGATAGAAGAATATTCCAAGAGATGCAAAGGCCAAAGTGGAGAATGTGTTAGGTATATATGGGGAATGGTAAGATTACTGTGGCAGGAACAGAATAATCAAAAGCGGGGTAGAAGCTGTGGTCACAGAAACAGTGGGCAGGGAGCACAAGATTATGTAGAGTTTCATGAACCATTATAAGAAGTATTTTTACTGTGAAAGAGATGCAAAGCGAAGGGAAGATTGCAATAGAATGACGTGATTTGACATATTTTAAAGGTTCCATTAGGCTGCTGTATGAAAAGTCAAACACAATTATGAAGATTTTGGCTGAAGCTACTGGCAGAATGGAAATGTCATTTAGAGAAGTGGCGAATGTTGCAAAAGAAAAAGCTTTAGTGGAGGGAAAATCAGACTGAGGTAGGATAGATGTCTATGGCTGTGCAGAGTTGTCAGGGAATGTGTAAGTACTAAGCTGGGAGGGATCAGTAAGTAAAAGCCCTACAACATGATGAGATTAATTTAGAGAATTAGAAATGAGAATGCAGGTAGAAATGAGAGATTTCAGGACTGATGAGGGGTAGGACAGTTTTCAAATGTTAGTAGAGAATGAAACTCCAAGAACTTAAAAAGAGATGTAGCCAGAAAGATGGGAAGAAAATTAAGAGAAAATGGCACCCTATGAGCCTATATTTATTTGCTTGGTTTTAGTAGTGAAATATCAATAAAGCTAAATTAGCAAACTATCAAATTTCCTGAAGGATAAAGTAGCTCAAAATAATGAAATTATTCCTAAAAAGGGGACTATCTTCAATAAGGTAGTTCACAATTTACAGTGATAAATAAAAATGAATCATTCCACTAAACATACCTTGAAAGAACATATTTGATTACCAGAAAGGTTTAATCTTTCCAGTTGTTCATTGGCATCAAGACACCGACCTTTAATTTTAAAAACAAGATAAAAGAAATATTAAATTTCTTGTTTTACCTCTTGTCCATATCCTATAATAATTCTGAGTTGCATATAGTCATTTCCTGCATATAAACAAGAGTAATGGTACCACTGTATAAATTACTAGCCTCAGCTGAATGGATATCCTCACATCCCATAATGATAGTTTTAGAAATACTTTGCAAAGAAGACATACAAATAATCTAAATTAAATAAATCTAAGTATGTATTTTCTACACTGATAAAAATGTTTATAGCATTATCTCAGATTTCAAATGAAACAGTACATACCAATGCTGCTTATCAGATTTCCTGCAAGGTTGAGATCATTTAAATTCTTCAAAGTCTGTAAGCCCTAAAAATTTAGACAATGTGTAATTTAAAAGAGTAAATATAAACTTTTTGTAAATAGGGAAGGGAGGAGCAGGTAAATGGAGGGCAGGGGTGTGGGGAAAAAATGAGAACCAAGACCTGTCACGTAAAGGTACAAAAGCCCCATGATGAATGTAACTGTACTGTACACCTAAATGTACCAATAAACTCAATGAGGAAAAAATTAATTAAAGAAAATAAAAAAGAGTAAAGAAAATATATATTTACACAGCATCTCAATTCGATCTAGTTATTATGCAGGGGCTATGAGCAGGAGTAGCCCAGGAGGCAATTTGTACCTCAGTGAAGCCAGTTTGGTTTCTCCAAACCGGAACTTCCAGTTATCCAAGGAGGTAAAAGGAGGGAAAGGGGGAGAAGAGGAACGGACGGGAGAAGAGCACGCTGCACAGACGTTCGTGATCTCTGGCAAGCTACTTAACACCTCCAAACCAACCTTTCTGAAAAAAACCTTCGAAGGAGGAATAAAAACACCTTCCCTCTCGGGCTTGTGAGAAGTAAAGATGCTGTCTGGACATGATAAAATGCTATATATATGTTAAGCTTTTTCATAATAATAACTAGTCACAAATATTTTGGGCGTTTAACCAAACTATGGTCTTAGACACGGTGATTTAAACTCCACGGCAGTAACTAGATTTATATACAAATAACTGAAATTCTCTTACCTCAATATTTTTAATAGTATTGTGGTTCAGCCAAAGAACTTCCAATCGGGTTAATTTCTCCAAATTTTCAATTTTGGAAATTTTATTATAATATAAATATAGTTTTTTCAAATTCCTACATTCTTGAAGACCTCCAATTTTCTATTTTTATTAAAGAGATTTAATAGTGTTAGCTTGTATTTTGTCACTAATTCTTCTAATAGTTAATTTCCAAGTACATTTTCCTTTAAATCTAACATTTCATTGTAAAATCAATATCCAGAAAAATGACCTAATATTTTTAGAAGGAAGATATAATCCCTCCACTGAAACAAACTACTTAATTTTTCATATTTTCTCTATTTTATATAGTTATAACTCTATTCTATATGGTTATAACTATATATAGGCTCTATAACTATTTTATATGGTTATAATCATAACATATACAATTTTGTGGATTTTTTAAAACTCAAGGCTATCTACAATATTTATATAACCTTCTGAGTTATAATACATAATAATTACAAAATATTTAATAAAGCTTTTAATTTACTTTAAAATTATATAATGTGTGAAATATTTACATTTAAAATTTGTGGCTATCATAAATAATACCACAATAATTAGCTTCTACATAGTTGCTTTCTGCTGTTGAATTACTTTCTATGATAAACTCTTTGAATAGGACTTCTGAATCAAAGGGTACATAGATTTCTGAGGCTCTCAAACGTTTTATTGTTGTTCGAACCAATTTCATTACTAAGCAATACTGGCTATGATTTGATTTTATTTAATTACTAAAAAGTACAATGTGTTTGCTTTGATTCTTTATTTCTGCTTTTTCCTTTGTGCCAACCAATTTATATCTTTGCCTATTGATTTGTTGGGATCCATGCCCCATGTATATATTTCAATAAATTATTTTTCCAAAGTCAAGAATTCAGGTAAAGATATTCCATTTAAGATTAGACGTTTAAACTTACCTCAATGTAGCACTCAGCAATCCAAAGTTCTTTAAGCTGTAAACAAGTCTCTAATCCTGAAATTTCTTTTATGTCTTGATCAACAATTGTGAGACTTGCTAAGTTAGGAAATAATGATAACCCAACTATACAGGGATATCCTGAAAAAAACATCTCCAGTTTTGAAGCATCTGATCCTTCTTGTCCAACCATCTCATAAGATAACCCATTGCACAAACACTGTTTTAAAAGAAAGAAATTGAATTTTTATCTACTTTAGATAATGAAAAGACATTCATCCTTAGAAATTATAGATTGTCCTGTACATTGATGCTATTTTTGTACTCCAACAAGAGAAGTTGCACCACATATACAATCTGTCTGTATTCCTAAAAGGCTTGGGGCAGAAGAAATATCCTTCTAGTCCCAGAAAAGAATATAAAACATCTCATTTAATATCCTTGCAAATGTTATTGAAAAGAATTTGACTTTGACTCACCAGTTCTTTAATTATTTCTTCTTGGTTTAAGTTTTCACTTTCAGTCATTTTCTAAAACCAGTGGTCATAATAATATATCTGTTAAGAAAAATGAAAAATTTAAATAAATACTACAGTCTTATTATTCCAACTTGAAAGGGTCCTTGGAGCTACTTAGGTTGAACTACCTACTGTGGCTTGAAATCTACACAGCGTATCAGCAAGACTTTTTCCGAAACCTGAGACTCATTCTATTTCTTAAATTTTGCATTAGAAAGTTCTTTTAATTCTGAAAGTAATTCTGTCTCTCCATAACTTCCACCCTTTGGATGTCCTCCTACCTCCTCGGTTCAAGTACAACAAAAACAATGTTCCTTCTGTACAACGGGACTTCGATACTTGAAGAAAGTAGCCATTTCTCATTATTACTCTTACCTGGCTCCTAGTTCCAGTTTCTTTAGTGCCCTCACTAGATGTTCATTTGTCTCCTTTGAATAGTCTCCAATTTATCCTGCTTATCATATGGCATTGCCCCCATCTGAACACTGTTTTCTAAGTGCAATTAGAGGAAAAAAGAAGATCCTTGGAGCTCAGCAGCTCACCTGGCATCATAATATATATTTATCAGGATAAATTCACTAATTTCTCCTTCGTGACATATGCTAAGCCAATTAATTCTTAGATTCAATAAAAATAACCCAATTTTCATCATTTCAATATTTTCACTATATATTTCTAGACATTCTCTGTCTGAAATACAGCAATCTTTTCTTGACATGATCATTTGACAAAGCGAAATATTTAAAACCATGTACATTATAATTCCACCATTTACAATTGCCCCACAGAGAGGGGTGTGTGTGTGTGTGTGTGTGTGTGTGTGTGTGTGTGTGTGTGGCTATGCAGGAGAAAATATGGAAACACACATACCAAGTTACCCCCACAGAGAGGGGTGTGCGTGTGTGTGTGTGTGTGTGTGTGTGGCTATGCAGGAGAAAATATGGAAACACACATACCAAGTTTTTTTTTGTATGAGTTATTTTGGATGCAGGTGAAAGCTGATATGGAATGAAAACACTGGAGAAAATAATGAAAAAAAATCACACTTTTTAACACGCATGTTTGGCACTGTAAAATATGAACACATAAACGTTTATCTATTCTACTACTGGGTACCATTTGGACTGTTTCCATTCAGCAAAGTAGCTCCTTGGATCCTTTTCAATATGTAACTCAGCTCACGTGACTCTTCCACTCAGAATCCTCAAACAGTTTTCCATCTTACGCACAAGAAAATCCAGAATCCTCGTAAAGGCCTACCAGACAATACATGATCCAGCCCTAGACCACTTCTCTGAGCTTCCACTCTGCCAGCCTCCGTTTCCACTCGTGTCCTCCCAGCACATCGTTTTCTTAGCAGTTCTGCGATATGCTGAGTATCCGTTCACTCCATTTTTTGCATTCACTACCCCTATTCCCCCTTCCGCACTCTTTCCAGATGATCTTGGCCTGTCCTCACTGGCACAGCAGAGAGCACCATGTACTTCTTTCCCATCTGACTCCTGTCTTAATCGAAGTATTCTTCGTTTTGTTTACAATGAATTTCTCTTCCTGTGTACTGATCCCAACTTCTTCTGTCTCAGAACATTACTCTGTGAAATTTTCCTTTCTCAGGTATTACCATCTTTCCCTCTCCAAAGTCTCTTTTCACACTGTATAAGATGGTTAGATCTTCCTATATTTAAAAGATCCTTACTGTTCTGTTCTATGAATAGCTATTTTTAGATACTTTCAAAGAAAAGCAACTCTAGAATCATTAGCAACACTTTGAAGTCCTCAACCTACTGCAATCTGAAGACATTTTAAGTCACTACAGCTGCTTTTTAAAAAACAAGGTCAACAATAATCTGCTAACTGCCAAACACTGGATACGTTTCTGCTCTCAGCTTGACTTTAAGGCATTTGGCAGTGCTGATGATCTTCTCTCAAGTTTTTGTCTTTGATTTACCTTTTCTCCTTGGCTTCTCTTTACTTGTTATTTGAAAACTACATTTCAAATCAACTGTTTTCTTTGTGGAAAATTACTGATCTTCATCTTCCTCTTTCTTGTGCAACCAATCCAACTGCCCACACAGAAAGTTCCAACTGGATGTGTCATGGATATCTCCAATTCAATATGTCATGTCTAAAATGGAACTAAGGGCAGGAACTATGAACCTATCACCATGCCTGGCACACACTAGTTGTCACTGAAAGTTTATAAATGGTTTGAAATTTGCTTTACATGACCATTAAGAATAACAATCAGACCATGAAGGACTATGTTTCTGTCTTCCATGAGAGTTAGCAAAGAGTCATTCTGAGAAGAGCAAATTTCTTTACTGCAAAATAGAAGCTCTATGCGATCAAATTATTTCCTTCCTCTAGGGTAAAGGATCAGAATCCACCAATTATCATCGATGTTCCAAAGCAATGCCCTAGTCACTCCAGATGAGTGGAATCAGGTGGGCCATGAGCGCTTGGCTCTCCCAGTCCAGTCTGAATGGTGCTAAAGGGGCTGCGAGGTGACGGTGGTCACCTTTCTTTCTTCAGCCTCTTAAGTCTCGCTGATGACCTCTAAAGCCACATCCCACTGCACCATTAGGGAGGTCCCTTGACCACAAGATTCCCTGTGTCTGCCTACAGATGATGGATGACTGAAAGACACCCGGTGACCAGCGCTCACCTTATCCAGAGAGGATGGATTCTGGGGCAGTCCTAGACAGGTCCACCCTAACCCCAGGCCTAGTGTGTACCAACTGCCGGCAGTGGTTGCCTGGGAAACCGGCTCTCCGCTCCTGCGACTTTAGAGTGGAGAGCTGGGGGCGAAGAGGGCGGGGAAAAGCGGAGGGAGCCCGTCTGCGTCACGTGACGGCAACCCTGACCAATCAGCAGAGGCAAGGGTCCACCGGAAGACCCCGCTAGTGCTCCTGGGAGGAAGCGGGCCGGTCTCGCCCAGTGGGGACGCCGTGTCTCTAGGCTTTGCCCTCCTTGACTTGGAGGTCCCGGAAGTGCTCCATTGATGAGCAAAGTGGAGGAATCAGACCTTGCCTTCTCCGATCTCGGCTCTGTGTCCTTGAAACTGTTTGACCCATAGATCCTGGACGCCGGGGATCTCACAGGCGGCCTGACGCTGGGCCGCCTTCCCGGAGAGGGAGCCGGTTGCCCGTGCCCTCAAAGACAGGCCCCTCTGGACTCCTCCTCGTCCTAGAGCCGGCTTTTGGTGCCTTTAACACTTGCAAAATGTCCGGGAGGCAAAGCTTAATTAGAATACAGCAGAATTTAAAGAGGCGAGAGAGACTTCAGGAGTGGGCAGAGGGGCTGAGAAACTTTGACAAGGCAAAGCAAGTAACAGCTGCTCTCCTTTCATCTCTCTCGCGGGACTGAGCATCTGACAAGGGGCCAGTCCGAAGGCTTAGTATGAAAATAACGAAAATGTCTCGCTAACAATTTTTATATTGATTACATGTTGAAATAATATATTGATATTTTAGAAGAAATTGAAATTATTGTTTGTGCTTTGAAAATACAGCAATCAGAAAAAAATGTAAGTGCACCTGTGACTCGCATTAGTTTTCTTTTCGATGGCTCTCATCTCTGTGGTTCAGTGAGTTTGTTTAGGATACTGAGGACTTTTGGGTCCTGCAAAATGTCTGTTATGCTCTTTTCCATCACTAGATGGCGGCCTTGTTCAACACTAGTTTCAAACTGCTCTCGAGAAAAATAGTTCAACTTTTAGAAATATTTCCATTCATGTCAAGAATTCCACAGATCTTCAGAGATCCATCCAATCGACTGTTTCTGGAGTACTGACTGTAAACACAAACATATAGAAAAGGTGATTTTCCCTTTGTAGTTTTTAAATAAAATTGTTTCCATCTGCCATTGATAGATTAAAAATAAGCTACTACCCAAAAATCTCACACGTTTTACTTTTATTATTGTTTACTTTTTTATCTAGAACAAGATGAACTGGGCTTGGGGAAATTTTTTTCCCTAGAATAGAATAACTACAAGACAATTTAAATTTCTAAAGTTTTAAATTAAGAAAGTGAATCATATATAAATTAGGTGAATTACCTACATCAAATTTTTCATTTGGAGACTACCTTACATTGGGATGAAAGTAGAGTTTTCTAAAGTATATCGCTTTGCATATTTTCAAACTATAAAAACCTAAACAGTAAAAGGGAAAGAACTAACAGTTTTCTTAAACAGTATCACATAAAAAGTAATATATATTATTTCTAGATAAAGCTCAACGATTTGGCCTGTCAGTTCTTATATGGCTGTAGACTAATAACCATTGGTGACTTGCAAACTTAAGCATTTGTCCACAGTAATTCTTCAGAGAATTGGCTGTTTGTTTACATATTCCAGATGTTACTTAGAGCTTATAGTTAAAAACCACAGGAGGAACACCAAAACTGACCATTTGTGTTAATCTCCTCTTCTCACTTTAAGGTTGCTTTATGATTGTTTTATTGTGTCAGTACCAAAAAAATGAAAATTGAAACCATTACAAAGCAAGTAATCATTCAAAGTGAACTAAGACTTCATTCATCTCTATTCATACTCCTAGACAAAGGTTACTCCAAATAAATTTAAATCTGTTCATTTACAAGAAAAAGATATCTTGAATCTAAAAACAATGGGGAAGATATATTACCAGTGGGAAGTAGCAAGCTTACTGCATCAACTCCTGAAGGTTCATTTATGTCAACAAAATATAGGTGACCCTATGATAAAAAATAAACAGCATAGTACTGGTGAAGAAACAGACCTGAGGATCAGTGGAATAGATTGGAAGATACAGAAACAACTCCAGATGTGCTCAGCTACCTCATCTTTGACAAAGGAGCTGACCATCCCCACTGGGGGAAAGATAGCCTCTTTAATAAATGGTGTAGGAAAAACTGAATTTCAACTTGCCAAAGATTAAAACTAGATCCTTATCTTTCACTATGCACTAAACTAGTGGATTCTAGTTTAAGATCTAAACATTAAAACAAACACTAAACCTGCTGGACGCTAAGTCTCAAAGACATTGGCATAGGAGAAGACTTTATGAAGAAATCCTCAGTAGCACAGGAACTAGCACAAAGAATACTGGGATCTCATCTTATTACAAAGCTTCTGCACTGCAAGAGAAACCACCAACAGAACTAAGAGACAGCCTACAATGTGGGAAAAAAATTTACCAGCTTTTCCTCGAAGGTCTACTATCTAGAATATATGAAGACTTCCAAAAAAAAAAAATCAGAACCTCCCCCAAATATAAAGACCTACTTCAAAAATGGGCATCTTGGGCTGGGGATTTAGCTCAGTGGCTCCACCACCTGCCTCGCAAGCACAAGGACCCGAGTTCAATCCCTGGTACCAAAACAAAACAAGACAAAACAAAAAAATGGGCATCTGAAATGAACAGACACTTTTCAGACTAACAAGTAAAAATAGAAAATAAATATATGAAAAAATGCTCCACATCACTGGTCATTTGAGAGATGCAGATGAAAACAACACTGAGATTCCACCTCACTCCAGAAAGAATGGCTGCTATCAAGAAATTAACCAATAACAAATTCTGGTGGAGTCATGGAAAGAAAGGAACCTTTCTCCTTTGTTGATGGGAGTGCAGACTGGTGCAACCACTGTGGAAATCAATATGGAGATAACTCAAAAAACAGGATTAGAGGTACCATTTGACCCAGCTATCCACCTGCTGGGTATCTTTCCAAAAGAGCCAAAAGGATAATACCACAGCGATATATATGCACCCATGTTTATAGTGGCACAGTTTGTAATAGCTGAAACTTGGAAACAGCCTAATTGCCCATCACCTGGAGACTGGATAAAGAAGATAGGGTTTTTCTATAAAATGGGGAACTACTCAGCCATAAAGCATGAGAAACTAGAGTCATTTATAGATAAGTGGTTGCATATTGAGGCTATGCTCTTAAGTGAAATAAATAGGACACACATGTAAATACCAAATAGTATCTCTGGTGTGAAAAACTAAAAGTGTAAATAAGGTTCAAATTGTATAATTGGTAATGTGAAATAGGAAGAAAAGGACTAAAGGTTTAGGGAAAGTGGGAAGGGTAGGGAAAAGGAAAGAAGGGAAGAGAAAAAAATATGAGAAAAGGAAAAAATGGAAACAAAGTCTTTTAAAATAGGGAAGGGTAGAGGGGCTGAAAGGAGGGCAAGGGAATGGGGAAAAAATAAGAACCAAGATGCATCCTGTGAAGGTACAAGATCTCAATGACGAATGTAACTGCACTGTATACCTAAAAAGTACCAATAAACTCAATGAAAAAAAGTATAGGTGAGGGCCAGGGATTTAGCTCAGTGGTGCTGCCACCTGCCTCGCAAATGCAAGGACCTGAGTTCAATCCTTGGAAATAAATTTATGTTTATATATATAACCTTGCAGACCCACAAAGATAATGTAATAATTGATTAAAATTTTTTAATTGATTAAAAACGTATTTCTCATAAAGTACTATTCTGAGTTGTGAACAGTGGAACTATGCAAAGCTGTTTTGTAATGCCTTTAATTTCAGAAAACAAAAGTACAAAGATTTTCAGTGCTAATGTGATTTTTATATTCTTAAAGACATTTGGTCTTTATACAAATGAGTACCTTAGAGCTAATGATTTTATTAGATTATCTTAAAAGTTCATGTGTTTGAATTTCACATATCATAGAAACTATAAATGCAGCACAAGTCAGGGTTAATTCTGGCATTGGAAGATGTAATTATTTGATGCTTATAAAGTCATAATCAGAGGCACTCACTGTCTAGCAATTAATATTAATAGCCAATAAGATGAATATATTAAGATCCATTTAAAATTAGGAGTTGTTCTGAAGCAAAGTTTTAATTAGGCCAAGAGGATGCTATTTCTTTTTATAAGAGGATGCTATTTCTAATGGTTCCAGCTAAAAAATTAGTCTTTGATTGGTTGATTTATAATTACAGGAGAAGACTGCCATAAAAGGCAGCCAAAGTGGAATCATGAAAACGTACTTCTGTTGTCACCACCAACTTAACCTCTTCCTCTTGCCACCATAGTTGTGGTGTGTTGAGCTCTGAGGCAGCACTTGAAGGACAGTGAATTTAAGCTGAGGTAATAGTCTTAATTTGCTAGATAGCTGAATGGTTCTTTGTGTGGGAGAATTCTTTCCTCACTCTTTTTTTTTTTTTTCTTTCCTGTCCCTTATTTCGGCTCTAAGCTTAGAAAGTTGGTTGTATTCCTCAGGTTCAAGGACATTATCATCACTGGTCCATTTAAGTCCCTTTTCTCATTTTGCTCATTTTGAGGCTCGGACCCAGAACTTTTGCATTGAGCTACATATCCAGCCTTTTTATGTTTTTGTTTTGAGGCAGGGTTTTAGTAAGATGTTAAATTGTCCGGAGTGGGATTGAACATTTGATCCTCCTGCCTCAGTCTCCCAGAGGGCTGCGATTACAGGGGTGCACCATTCCTTTTCAATTTTTTTCTATATCCCAAGGCACCCAAAATATAGTCAGCAGTCTAATGTTTCTTATAAGTGGATAAATTCATAGCATATATATTCCCAAAAGGACAGGGAAAGGGCCGTTTGTCACACTTTTTAGGATGAACAATAAAGAAAAAATAAACTCCTCATATCTTTTATGACTGAAGACAGTTTGGGAGTGAGGCACCTGCCAAAGTAAGGCTCTTACTGTCCCTCAGAAAGTGGGAGAAAAGGCATCTTTGGTTTTCTTCCTATTGGTACTGTGGATTACTCCCTCTCTCTCTCCCTCTCGCTCTCCCTCTCCCTC